GAACTCTATTTACTATCTATCTGAATTGAAATTTAGTATACTCTATTTCCATTTACTGAATCTGGCAACACTACAAGGGGACTATATCATACAAACATCTACTCAGCTGTGGAAGAAATGGCACTCTGTGTATGAGTAGAAGCCCTTCACAGATATGTGTGCCTTGTGAAATTACTCATGAACTTGCTATTGAACATGCAAGAAGGCAAGACTCTAAAAGCTGTTAAAATGTTATTAATATATGACTTATATGGAGAATAAAACACCAATAAAGATGAAAAAAGAAATTTGCAAAATGTGTATCTTTCATTTCTTATTTCTGGATGAATACAGGTTGTTTAAACTGCCACAAAATGTCTTTGTGAAAGAAAACACTTTTTTGGTGCTTTGCCTTCTAAACACAGGTTCAGTGACCTCTCAGATGGGGCTGGAGGCTATCAGCACAGCCTGCAGCCCAGGTCCTTGGGAACATGGCTCTGCCCTTCTCACATGCAGGGCAGAAACCAGTCAGCACCCTCGATGCCACAAATGTGATTGTATGCCAATGTTCCTATATCTTCCAGCTCCTAAGACAACCGAGAATCTATGGATTTTATTTGACTGAAGTCCAACAACTCAATAAGAGATTGATTCTTCCAAAGAACCACTGAAGTATAGAAAAAGCTGCAGGCTGGGATAAAATATTTGCACAGCACATGACCTGCAAAGGATTAGTATCCATAATGCCCAAAAGTCAATACAAAAAATGACTTAAGCAGAAAATGGGCAAGATATATGAACAAATGTTTCAATGCAGAAGATGTAGGCATGGTAAATGAGCACATAAAAAGATATTCAAGCTCACTAGCTATTAAAACATGAAAACTAAGACCATAATGAGCTATCACTACTTTCCTAGCAGAATGGCTGAAACAAAAATAAAATGCAGTAACACCAAACACTGGTGAGGATGCTGAGAAATGGAATTGCACCTGTGTTGCTGGCCAGACTGTAAAATGGTTCAGACTCTGTGAAAACTAGAGTTTCCTATAAAATTGAGCAGGTAATTATTGTATAACCTAACAATTACATTCTTAAGGTTTTTGTCCAAGATAATTTAAAATCCATGTGCATGCAGAACCTGCACACAAATGTTCATACACATCTTATCCATAATTACCAAAAACTGGCAGTATCTTTCAAGGGTTCAGTGGGTGAAGCAAATGTGGTACATCCACACAATGAGACTCTATACAGCCACAAAACAAGAGCTACTGATGGCTACTGATGGATGAAGCAGATTGGACAGATTTCAAAGGAACTGTGCTGAGTACGAATGTTATCCACAGAGGGTTACATATTATATGATTGCATTTATATGACAATCTTAAAAAAATAAAAGTGTAGAGGTGGAGACCAGATTAGAGGCAGCGAATGTGGATACAGAGGGTGGTGAAGGGATTCTTCTGCCATCTGATTGCAATAGCAGTCTAGAGTTTACACCTGTGATATAATTACATAGAGCTACATACTACGAATACACATACACATATGGTACACACAAAACTGGAGAAACCTAAATAACTTCAATTAATTTTCCTAATGTCAATTTTTGAGGTTTTTATTATTATAATATCATTATGCAAGGTGTGACCATTCAGGGAAGCTGGGTGAAGGGTACAAAGTCTCTTGGTAAATGTATCCTTTTGTCAATTTCCTGTGAATCTATTATAAACTCAAAATAGAAAGTTAGGAGGAAAGGTTGGCTACTATTTGAATGTTTTGAAGACATGGTATGGGGACCAGGAGATGTGAACAAGGCGCCAGAGCGGGTCAGCTGTGATGCAGGTGGAGTAATCGCCCAGCGCCCTCTCGCCTGCATCCACAGAGTCTACTAAGGGATGCCTTCCTCCCGGGATTTCACTGAGGCTTAAATAAACTCGCAGCTCCCATTCCTCTCCTTACATTTTCCATATTACAGAACGCACAGACACGCCTTGCCTAGAGTCAACACTGACGGCCAGGCAGCACGATCGCCATTTGATTGTCATGGGCTGAATCACACTGAAACTTCCTGCTCCGCAAGACAACATGATCAAGTCTTAGGAAACTAATTTCTGCCAGAAAATTGAAGTCAGTTTCAAATTTATGGCTCTGTAATTTGAGGAGAACTCCAAGGAAAGAAACTAATCTGAAGACACATTTGGTTTTCTCTTTGTGCCTTTGTGATGACTTTCCCTGGGTTCCCCTTGATCTTGTAGGTACTTCCTGATTATTAACTCTTGTTCTCTTAACTGCAGCTCTACCCAGGCTTATAAATGTATTGTGCAGATGTGATTTCCTTGTGTATGAAATAGTCTCTGACTTTACTCACTCACAATGACTAGACCACAGGAGATGATTACAGTGCCACAGTGGTTCTCTCCTCTGACTGCTCCTGGGATGATTTTCACCGCATTTACATCGAAGCACCAATAAACCCACAGTCCTCTAGAGACTCAGAATAGTTCCCACCCAATTACACAGAAAGATTAACTTATTCTGCTTTCTAAAACGTGATAAAAAATCACATAGTATGTCTTGTTTCTAAAAGAAAAAACAACAACCAAGCTGAGACCCTTCAACCTCTATGAGGTCAGAACTCCCCCAATTAACTCATGCAAATAAAAGATGGCAATCTTGAATAATTTTGCAAAGTGAGCTGTTCTCTTTAGTCAATCAATTATGCTCTATAATTGCATGCTAAAACCATTTACAAAGTATTTTAGTTCATGCAAGGGCTGCAATTCAATTTAAATGCCTATAACATAACCCGGCTACATCTTGCCTTACATATTTTAATAGATGCTTTTTTCCTGGATATTTACAAAATTATACATGTAAATAATATGTTGAATAATTGATGAGCCACCTAGTTTTGCTACTCATTGCCAGTGATAATGTTCTTTCCAAAATGTCTCCTCACAGCAAAACTGTACACAGCATTTAAAGACATGTTAGCTCCCACAGTCACAAAGGCCTATTTAGAAATTGTCAGCATAATTCACTCACCTGATTGATGACGCAACATCTACAATTTATATATACTCACACTACGTGGATATGGATCTTTGTTAAGAAAACAAAGATCTTTAACAATTGCCACACTCCATATTATTGCATTTTAGGGAATAAAGTAGATTGAGGTTATTATCCTTCTTGTTTTATTAAGCCTTTATGCAACAGCTAGAGGTTAATGGAGCTATTATTTTTCTCACTGTCAGACTGCTTTAAAGGCAGATCTAGAGTATTGGTGCCAGGAATCCGACACAGAAGGGCAGGCATGCCTGGTTCCCTACCGTCCAGAAGGATACCTGTGACTCGGACTGCAGAAAGGCCCCTGAAAATAGAGCCAGATAGGTGCAGGCGCAAACTGTCTCTAACAATATTCTTATTGCAAAACAGGTGCTTTCTTTGTCATTGGGTAAAGTGAATCACATTAACTATCACAGATTGTTCACTTGGGAATTAATAGAACAATATATCTGGTTATTTGGGGGAATTATGGCCTGATAAAAATGCCAGTGGGAAATGAATTCTGGAATAAAGTTTCACAGCTTGAAATACATACAGCCAGTGGGTTGTGGGGTGGGGTTCCCCTGGTAGCCCTGACTTTTGAGTCCTGGAAGTCAGATTGAGGTTTATGAACAGTCTCCTCTGTCCCTGTCCCCTTATCTCACAGTCTGCTTCAATCTCTGTACCCGGAGAAGCACTTTGTAGCTTTCTCAGAGTCTGCGTTTCTCTGAAATTCTTCAAATGTCCTTCCCTAAAAGCAAGCATGGTCCAGCCATCAATTCAACAACAAATGGATGCATTCAGCAATGGTGTAGAGGGTGTTAGGCACTACTACAGTGTAGAATTCAGACTGACAATGAGATCTTATTACTGACTGTCGTCACCTTGTGATGCAACCTTGAAGGTAAAATCTCTGTTTCTTACAGTTTCTATGCTTCCTTCTAGGTGGGGATAGAACGATTGGTGGCCCTACTGTATTTTGTTTTCATTGCTAATTATTTGTGCTTCTCTCATGGAATGCATGCAATTTTATAATAGTCATGATTTTCTCTTAACCAATGTCTGACAAATGTTCATTAAAGGAACGTTCAGGACATGCAGCCACCGAGGAGGAAACACGAAGACAATTCCCTGACATGGCATGTTTGGGGCTCTGAGAAAGGCTGCTCCATTCTGGAAGCACCTCATGCCTATCCAGACTTTGAAAGACCTGTAGACCACGATCATCTCAAGGGGAGAAACGCATTCTGCTCATTTCTGTGGCAGCTCCTGGACCTTCCTCAACACGGGTCTGTGGAATGCATGCACGAAACCATGCAGCATGACTTCGTGGAGGAAAACACGGGCTTCCCCTCAGTATGTCCCACATCACAACTATGTCGCTCAGTCCTCCACCCGCAGATGCAGGTGAGTGTGCTCCTGGGACTCCTTTCAGTGCTCAGTAGAAACCAAGGAACAAAGCAGACAAAAACATCGCATCCATACCTAGCTGGAAGGCAGGGAGGGAGAAGCAGGACATTGTAAGATTCTACGAGAGGAGGAAGCCTCGCTAAGGCTCATGGACATGTGTACCATGCATGGATTTTAAAATTAGTTTGCATCAAAATTGTATTTTGTTATTTTTCCACAAAATTTTTGTCATACCCTCAGATATAAGTGAACATGACAAAAACAGAGCTGGTGACAGAGGACAAAAGAACTCTTAGATGGACAACAGGTGTGGAGGTCCAGCGAGGGCCTCCAGTGGGGGTATGTTGAGTAACGATGTA